AGGGGACCAGGAGAGCTTCCAAGGGAAGGGGCAGTGAGTGGTGGTAAGGTCAGGCAAGGAGGGGTGGTGACAGGCACAAGGCACAGGCTGGTGTCCAGGAAGTGGCTGGGCTGAGGTGAGAGTTCCCTGTTTTGGCCCAGCCTTACCTGTCCGTGCCACCTGTGGGGTGGGCATGCAGCCTACGCTGTGTCCCCTTTGCAAGTCCAGGACATCATGTGGACACAGCAGAGGAAACAGGATTTCTCAGTCTTGTGGGCCTCATGGGCTACACCATGATTCCAGAGACAGGTGGGTGAGCAGGCTGGATGAGAGGGCTGTGCAGACCCAGGCTGACAGCCAGTTCCCCCTCCCCCAGCCCTGGGAGCACCCTCTGCAGCTGCTTTGCTGGGGATGGGGAGTCAGAGCTGAGCATGGCCAGTGGGTGAGGCTGCTGGGAGTGGGCCCTGCCCTACCTGAGGCCAAGGGCATGGCAGACACAGGCTCAAGGTCCCTTCATCCCTGGTGCATACCGAGGCCACAGCATGAACTTGGACACTGAAGCAGATTTGTGTGAGGAAGGCCTGCTTAGAGGCCCGGGGTCACATCAGATTGGGTCTCTTGCAGTGCCAAGACACAACCAGACCTGGCATTTACAGCAGGCCAGTGCCTGGGTATCCCCAAGCAGGGAGTAGGCAGCTTAAGAGACCTTTCAAGTCACGTGGTGAACCCCGTTCTTGGGCCCTGGCTATGCGGCTTGTCTAGGTGGGGAGCCCATGGGCACTTTGCAGACTGGCTAAGGGCTAGGGAGGACCCAGACCTCCAGAGAGGAGACAGAGAGGGCGGCTGGGGGAGGGGACTGGTGTTGGGGAGCTGCCTGAGTGATGGAGGAGGAGTAACCTGGACCTCGGGCTGGAGGGCAACCCAGGATGTGGGGCCTAGTGCAGACTGCAGCCAGGGGTACTTGGTGTGTCTAGGGGAGCGTGGGGCCCTTGGGAACAGGTGGCTACGGGGCTGAAGCCCCAGGGACCCGGGAAAAGATAACCAAGGTAGCCCCCTTGAGTGTGCAAGAGACAAGTGAGGATCAAGTGCTAAGTGGGGGAGGGAATTCCAGGTGTGTGATTAGCAGCCCCCTCCATCACCCAGCTCCCCCATTACATCCCAAGACAAGAGGGGGGCTGCTGCCCACAGTTCCCATAGAGATGGAGGCGGGGCGGGTGGAGGCGCGTGCGCGTGGGAACCTCCCTCTGTCTTGCGCGCCAGTGCGGCTGCAGTGCCTCCTTCCAGTCCGCCGTCCCTTCCACCGCCGCAAAGCGGGCTCCGAGGGACCCGGAGGCGGTGGTCGAGCCGGACAGGCAACCCCTCGTCTCGCCAGCATTCTCTCCTGCCAGCACTCTCTCCCGCCACCCGGTCCTGCGCTCCTCCCGCCACCTTACACCCTCTCCGCCCCTCGTGCCACGCCCCATCCGCTTCCCGCCCCCACCCGGTGCCGCAGCCCCCGCCTGCACCCCCGCGCCCATCCCCCGCGGCCGCGCCCACTGCGGCAGCCCCTTCCCCGCCAATCGCGTCGGCTTTGCCCCGCCCCCGCCTGCCGCAGCCCCCCGGCCGCACCCACTGCGCAGCCCCCCTCTCCGCCTGGGTGCGCGGCAGTGCGGACCCTGCGTGCTGCTCCGCAGCCTTTGTGCCGCCACCGGCAGCACCGCAAACCCTGCGGGCGGGCCGCACCGGGCGGCCTGAGCGGCGGAGGGCTCCTTGGTGACGCTGTCATTTGGGTGAAATGGAAGCGGGGGCTTCGGGGGTCGTGAGGCTGGGGATGCGGATCAGGAGCGAGGCCTGCCTCGCGGGTGCTACTGATGTGTGAGTGGGGAGCCGAGATGTTGTTAGGTGTCTCCCGTGGGTCCGCGGCCACCTTCCTAACAAGCCGGTAGATGCTTGGGTACAGGCTTCTTGGGGAAGCCGGGCGACGGCAGGCAGGAAGGTCCCAGGAGGCTGGGTAGGGGCCAGTGGTCTGTCCTCCTGGGGAGGAAAGCCAGGCGGTTTGTCCAGCAAGAAGACCCCACGGCCAGTGCAGCTTCCCGGGGCCCAGGAACCGGGCGGGGGAGGGGGTCTTGTTGGGAAGGCGCCCCATGGGCGGCAGGGGTCCAGAGCTAGGTGCGGGGGCTCCTGTGTGTCTCCTGTGGCTCTTCCGGTGGAGCTTGGCACTATCTACGCAGTAGGGAGCTTCTGGGGCGGTGGGTCTGTTGGTGCAGAGCCACTCCCGGGAGCTGAGGCTTGGGGCTTTCCTCTTGCACCTCCTGTCAGCACCAAGGCTTCTGGAAAGAGGGCTGGCATGGCGCCGCCTATGCGGTCTCCAGAGGAGGGCACGAGCACTGCCAGGCCCGGCCAATGTCTAGCATTGCCGAGAGAGGACACCGTCTGGAAGTGGGTCTTGGCTAGAGCTTCAGGATGATAGCTGGGGAGACTGCCTGTGCCCAGGGATAGGACAGGACAGGATGGAGCTGGCTGCCGCGGCTATCAGCAGGTGGTAGGAGGGTGTGAGCAAAAGTGCTGACTACACCGGCTGCTGAGGGGCTCCCTGGGAGGCACAGTTCCTGGGAACTGGGGAGGTTTTGGCTGGTGACATTGCCCTGGGGAAAGTCCCCCAAGAAAACCTAGACGCACCAGGACAGGGATGGACCTAAGCCTGGGAGGGAACGTTCTGGAAGGTGAGGTCAGTACCAGGAAATTCAGCCAAGGGATGGGAAAGGGGAATTGGTGGGGTGTGGCCAAAGGGCCAAGGGGGCTCTGGCCAGTGCGAGAGGTCACCTCTGCAGGACGGAGAAGGCCTACCCCCCCCCCGCCCCCGCTTCCCTCCCTGGAGAAGGGAAAGGCAGGTGGGGAAGGTGCAGGGGTTGCAGAGGCAAGCAGTGTGCACCCTTGCACACGCATGACATACACACGGGGCGTGCCCTCGCGGAAGCTGGAGCCAGGTGGGGCTTGGCTTAGGGGATTCGGGTCCAAGTTGCACTGGCCCTGTTCAGGCGGCCAGCCCAACCCAGGGCTGCTCTCCTAAAGGGCGGGGGCCCTCTGCTGTCCAGCGCCACAAGGCAATCCGGGCCTGCTGGCAAGAGCTTGGCCGCGGAGGCCTAAAGCGGGCCCAGGGGGCGCCTGGCCCAGCCTGCCCGGGCCCTCAGGCCGGCGCCCGGGCTCTGGCTCCGTGTCTTCACTCCCGTGACTGTTCGAGGAGGGAGGGAGGGACGGGGGCTGTGCTGGGGCAGCCGGAATGGCACAGGTCACCGGGCCGGCTGGGCGAGGTGGCAGGGCCGGGCAGGACAGGGGCTGCAGGAGGCCGGCGGAGGAATCAGTTTCTCCGGTCAGCAAGCTGGAGACGGAGTGCGCCCTCCACCGGTCGCTTCTTGCCTTTGCAGCTCAGGATCTGATGGGGCCGCAAGCTTCTCGCCCCTGCTGCAGATTCCAGCAAGCCTGGCCTGGGTCCCGCTGTCCGCAATGCGCCCAAGTGTCCCCTGTAGTCCCTCCCAGGACATGCTCCCCAACACCCACGAGCCCCGCCTTGGTGGTGAGCCCCCACCCATGCAGGGGAGACCACGAGTAGCACAGCCCCTGTCCCCACTGCCGGGCAGGTGGCTCCTGTCCCCTGAGGATAATCTCGCATCCCACCCACAGCACCTGAGAGTGAAGGGTCTGACAAGCACCCCTATATGCCAGGCTGCAAGATCTCGCACCAGGATGCCCCCAGGCCGGCGGCTATAGGAAGCAGAGGCTGCTTCCCACTCCCAGCCTGTGGCCCTGGTCAGCCCTGCCCAGCTGGGAACATGTGGCCCTGGGGAGGGCAGGCACCCTGGGTGAGAGGAGGCACGGCATCAGCAGGGCACGGGGCCCAGGCTGGGCTTCTAGGGGTCGGAGTACAGCCCTTGTCTCCAGCCTTCCCTGCTCCCCCTGAGTACCAGGTCACATTGGACCCCTGCCTCCCACTCAGGACCCTTGGAGATGTGCAGGCTGAGGTCAGAGAGCAGAAACTCACCCATCCCAACCTTGCCTGTATGGCCCCCAGTGTCGGTTACTAAGCCCAGCAGGTGTCTTCCATGTCAGGTTAGGGGCTCCCTTCAGCCCAGACTGCTGCATTTGGCCTTCCCTGAGGCTGCTGGGGAACAGGTGGGTTTTCTGGGAAAAGGCAACCATCAGCATCCCACCTGTGGGTTCTCAACACCCTCTTCCTGTCTCCCCACCAGAGGTGAGAGGTCCTTGGCTGCCCCCTCTGCCACCACATGGAAGGAGCGCTGGAACTGGTGCTGTGGCACATGGCAGGGCTCGTCCTGGGGAGTTTTGAGGGTCCCTGTGGGCCCTGGCTTGTGTGGGAGCACAGAGAGAGTCTCTGGGCTCAGACAAGCATGGCCTGGGAGGAGGGGCTGGCCAGTGGGTGTGGGGGCCTGAGCAGCTCTGTCCTCCAGTCTCAAGAGAGGCTCGGTTTGTGGGTCTATAATATGGGGGTGCTGCAGCGCATGAAAATGAGATTAGCACCTTTAACTGTGGGTTTTCTCCCATGCCATGCACGCAGCGCAGGTAGCTTAGTCATCCTGCATCAGATCTGCCCCCAAACGCTGTCCCCAGTTTCGGAGGTTGTCTCGGATGTCACCACCACAGTGCCCTCTGGAGCCCATGCCTGAGCAGAGCACCTGTGACCAGTACAGAGGAGGGGACCTGGTGTGCCCTTTGGGCAAGGTCACAGGCCACTGCCAGGGTCTGTGGACAGCACTCTGGAGGCACATACCTGACTTGTGCCCCAGCACTCTGGGTGCTGGGTTTCATCTCCCAACCCTAGCATGGGCCTAGGCAGGAGTGCTGGAGTCCAGTGGTGCCCTGGCCACCCATGCACAGGCCCATGGCCACTTGGCTAGGGGCCCCTAGCTTGGCTGAGTCGGGACAGCTGTGCAACAGCCCTTCCCTGAGCCCAGCCCCCTGCCTGCCCTGCTGGGCTCTGCTCCCCAGCATCCTGACCTCACCCCCCCACACTGCCCTCCCCACAGGCGAGCACCTGCGCATCTGCCCCCAGGGCTACACCTGCTGCACCAGTGAGATGGAGGAGAACCTGGCCAACCGCAGCCACGCTGAGCTGGAGAGTGCGCTCCGAGACAGCGGCCGCGCTTTGCAGGTCATGCTGGCCACCCAGCTGCGGGGTGTGGATGGTGAGTCTGGGGCTGGGCACAATGGAAAGGAAAGCAGAGACCCCAGTATGTCCAGCAGGTCAGAGTCACAGGGTGTCTGCTGCCCATGACCTAGCTCAGAAATGGCTCCTGGAAGCTAGGCGTGGTGGCACCTGCAGTCCCAACACATGGGAGGCTGAGGTGGAAGATCACCATGACTTCAAGGCGAGTCTGAGCTCCATAGTGACCAGGTCAGCCTGGTCTACATAGCAAGATCTTATCTTCAAAAAAGGAAGGGAAGGGAACAAGGCAGGTTTTGGAAGCCCTGTTGGCAACCTAAGGCCAGAGGGCCTATGACCTAAGGCAGAACCCCCTACTTGGGCCTCAGCCTCCCCACCAGGAGGCCAAGGTCTTAGGGACCCCATGGACTTTGTGGGGCCATTTAGTCTCGAGTTTGGCTCTGCTAACCATGCCAACAGACTTCTACAGAGTATGAGTCTCCCCACCTGCCCCCGCACCCTGGTAAGCCAATACCGCATTCAAGAAATGGAGACGTGGGGTCCCCCAAAGTCTTACGCTGCTCTCCCTGTGCTCAGACTACTTCCAGCAGCTGCTGAACAACTCAGAGCGGGCGCTGCAGGACACCTTCCCTGGAGCCTTTGGGGAGCTGTACACACAGAATGCCCGGGCCTTCCGGGACCTGTACACTGAGCTGCGCCTCTACTACCGTGGTGCCAACCTGCACCTGGAGGAGACGCTGGCAGAGTTCTGGGCTCGTCTGCTTGAGCGCCTCTTCCGGCAGTTGCACCCCCAGCTGCTGCTGCCAGACGACTACTTGGACTGCCTGGGCAAGCAGGCCGAGGCACTGCGGCCCTTCGGGGACACCCCACGGGAGCTACGCCTGCGGGCCACCCGGGCTTTTGTGGCTGCTCGAGCCTTCGTGCAGGGCCTGGGTGTGGCTGGTGATGTGGTCCGGAAAGTGGCCCAGGTGTGGATGGGAAGGGCCAGGGAGGGGTGCTCAGGCACACACTGGACAAGAGATAAGGGATTGCGACATGCGCTTGGGGCTGGAGCAGGTTGGGGTTCCTGAGGCCTTGCAGGGCAGGGATCACAGAGGGGTACACCAGCTGTCAACCATATTCTGATACAAGCTACAGGTCCTTAGCAAGTTGCCTCCCTGGCCCCTGAGCCTCAGTTGACTCATCTGCGTGGTACAGTGTTCCCACCTTCTAGTGGCTGGTGGCTGAGACACTTGTAAAACATGTGTCTGGGGCTGGCAGGCTTGGAAAGGCAGGAGGGAAGGCCCCATCATGCAGGCCAGCTCTGATGTCCACTCTAAGCCCCACATACCGGGGCTGCCAGGTGTGCTCAGGCTGCCCTCATTCCCCAGGTGCCCCTGGGTGCAGAGTGTTCAAGGGCTGTCATGAAGCTGGTGTATTGTGCCCACTGCCTGGGGGTGCCTGGCGCCCGACCCTGCCCCGATTACTGCCGGAATGTGCTCAAGGGCTGCCTTGCCAACCAGGCTGACCTGGACGCCGAGTGGAGAAACCTCCTGGGTGAGCCCAGACCCATCCCTGGGGAGCAGACCCTGGGGAAGCAGGTAGTCACAGGCTCAGGCCTAATGGGGCCTGAGCAGGGCCACCTGGACCAGTACTACATCTGAGGGGCTGCAGGGTTGGGGTGGGTTCCTTTCAGATGCCCCAAGTGGTACTTGACTGGGTTGGGGTGCATGCCCCAGGGATCCCTGTAAGATTCTAGTTCCTTTTCCTGCCCAACTAGCCAAAGCCCCAACATGTATACATGCTAACACATGTGACATGGTCTACTAGCACCTACATGAGCTAACATACATGCATTGGCATGTGGATGCTAGCACATGCACAAGCTGGCATGTACCTCTGCTGCATACTTTCACGCTGATATGGGTGTGCCTACATGTGCATTTGGCAGAGATATGTGCCAACACACATGTACTAGCACATACATGTTTTGGCCTTAAGTCAATGTGCACACATGTCAGCTTGCGTCAGGTAGTAGGCATGCTTCTGTGACAACATGTAAAGATTACATGCTGACACCGTGGCCTGACATATGTATGCTGGTATTGTGTGCTAATGTATGTTTGAAGGCATGGGATAAGCCAGTTAGGAAACTTCACACATGTGAGCTTCACATGCTGTTACATAATGTAGACACGTGTGTGCCTGGGCTAGCAGAGGCAAACCAACACGTACACACAGCAGCTCACGGAGGCTCCATGTAGGTGAACAGGTTTGTGCAGGGTGAGTGTGCATCTGTGTCAACACCCGCATGAGCTAACATCCAGTGTGCATGTGTATGGCACAAGCCAAGCCACCAGGACCACAGCGTGTGCACCTTGGTGCATGTGCAGCAAGCTGGCCTGACTGGAGTACATGCGCCTGGGGCCCTCTACCAGCTGCACCTTTGACCAGGGCTGCAAGACTGTAGGTCACTAACATGCACATGTGACGTGTGTGTGTGTGTGTATGTATGTATGTATGTGCGCGTGTTAACACCCATGCCAGACTCCATGGTGCTCATCACTGACAAGTTCTGGGGCCCGTCGGGTGCGGAGAGTGTCATCAGCAGTGTACACATGTGGCTGGCGGAGGCCATCAACGCACTTCAGGACAGCAGGGACTCACTCACAGCTAAGGTGCGGCAGGAGGCCCTGGTGAGCATGGAGGGCTGCCCCAACACTACCCCACTGGCTCAAGGGGCCCTGATGCCCCTTCAGGAGCTTGCACATCTCCCCAGGTCATCCAGGGCTGTGGGAACCCCAGAGTCAACCCCCAGAGCCCAGGCCCAGAGGAGAAGCCACACCGGGGCAAGCTGGTGCTGCAGGAGAAGCCCCCCACAGGTGCCCTGGAGACACTGGTGAGTACCCGCATTGCTCCTGCTGCCCACTCTGTGCCCATGTGGGAGGGCAGGTGGCCAGACTGCTGAGGGGCCTCAACACTGCCTGCAGGTCTCTGAGGCCAAGACCCAGCTCCGCAACGTTCAAGACTTCTGGATCAGCTTGCCCGGAACACTGTGCAGTGAGAAGATGGCCATGAGTCCTGCCAGTGATGACCGCTGCTGGAACGGGATGGCCAAGGGCCGGTAGGTGCCTGCCTGCATCCTAACACAACACTGGCAGGCCTGGGGAGCAGGTAGAGACTTTGCCCTCACCTGGGCCAGCTCCTACAACATGCCCTGCCACGGGGAGGTGTAGGGGGAGCCTGCCCCACGGTGGGGCCTGTGGGCTGCCGTCGGCCCTCTGCAAGGGCCAGCACAGTGACCAGCTCAGCCGCCCCTGCCCCAGGTACTTGCCCGAGGTAATGGGTGATGGCCTGGCCAACCAGATCAACAACCCCGAGGTGGAGGTGGATATCACCAAGCCGGACATGACCATCCGGCAGCAGATCATGCAGCTGAAGATCATGACCAACCGGCTGCGCGGCGCCTACGGCGGCAGTGACGTGGACTTCCAGGATGCCAGTGAGCACCACTGGGGCTGACTTGGGTGGGCACCTTAGTGCTCACAGGGCCCCGGAAGGGCCCCCGCCCCCCACCAGGGCCTGCAGCCCTGCATCCTCCCAGAGTTTAGTGATGGCTGTGGTGCTGCTGCCGCTGCTGGGCAGTCCCCCACCCATGCCCCTGTGGCACAGAAGAGGCCCAAGCAGGCTGCTTCTCTGGCTGTGGCTGTAAGGGCGAGCCTGGGTCTCCTGCCTGTCCCGGCTGTGGTTGACACACACAGGTGAAGGACCTCAGGGCCATCAAGCACTCAGGGTCCCCCACTGGAGATGATTGCTGGAGCCTCCTATCCTCCTCAGGTGATGATGGCAGCGGCTCAGGCAGCGGCGGTGGCTGCCAGGATGACATCTGTGGCCACAAGGTTGGCAAGAAGAGCTCCGGCGCACAGACACCCCTGACCCAGGCCCTGCCCGGCCTCTCAGAGCATGAGGGACAGAAGACATCGGCTGCCAGCTGCCCTCATGCCCACACTTTGCTCCCGCTCCTCCTCCTTGCTCTGGTCCTCGCAGCAGCTGGGCCCCGGTGGCGGTAATTGCCGCACAGCCCCAGGCACTGAGGCCAAGGACAGACTGCCAAAACCCAAACAGATGACCTTTGATCCCCCGTGGCCTGCAGGGGCTCAGGGCAAGACTGGCTCACAGCTCCATGTGTTGGCAGGATGTATGGGGCCGTAGCCCCCCAGGCCTGGCCTCACCTGCCACCCTGGCTTTTAATTTTGTAATGAGGTCCTCAGGTCAACTGTGAGCCAGTATCCCCAAAAGCCATGTATTTCAGGGACCTCAGGGGTGCCTCTGGATGCCCCCCACCACTCCTCCCACCACAGAGCCAGCCCCACCGAGGCCCATGAGGAGGTGGCCCTTCGAGTGTCCCAACAGAGACCTCGCATGAGCCTGTGCCTTCCTCCTGCTCCTCCCAGCTTCTGGCCTCAGAAAAGGAAGCCCAGCCCTCGCCTCCAGGAGCCCGCAAGCACCCTTGGGGTCCTGCCTGGGGCCTCTGGGCTTATGCATGCTGCCTTCTATTCAGCAGGGGCTCTGCAGCCGGGCTGGTCCTCCTGTGCCACTGTGGAACCCAGTGAAGGGGTCCCCAGGTGGTATGCAGGGGGGTAGTGTGGCCCGGCCACTTGGGCTTTTGCCACACTTTGGTTTGGGTCAGGGCACAAGCCCCAACACCCAGGGAGCAGTGTGGTGCTCTGCATTTGGGGGCCTGCACAGGCAGGCTTCCAGAGTCTGCACCAGGGACCCCACTTCTGGGGAGCAGCCAGCCCCTCTCCTGTCCCACATAGGGTGACACAGACAAGGCTGTCACCTGGCCACAGGAGTGGGGCTGGCCAGTGAAACCTCAGCTCATGGCTGGCAGCACGGGGGGGACACTTGGGCTCTCCCAACCCTGGCCATGCAGGGGTGAGGACTGTGACAGTCAAGGGCTTTTCAGACATGCGCACATGCACTCCCCCCCCCAAGGGCCACACTCGGCCTGCCCGCGCAGTTGGCAAGGCCTGGGCCCCACCAGTGCCTGGTGCACCCGGCTGACCGAGGCCATCATGGCCCTCACCTGCTCAGCCCAAGCCGAAGGCCCAGGGGAGGGGAGGGGGTCACTAGGGCCTGGAGACTGCTGCACTGCTGTGGCCTGGAGCAGCAGCAGCCCCCCTCAAGAGGCCCTGAAGCTGCTGAGCGCTTTGCTTTGCTCATCAAGTGGAGAAGGCCTTCCTGTGGGAGCATCCATGCTAGGGGGGGGGGGCCAGCGCTTTGGCCACTTGTGGGTCCCCTGGCACAAGGCAGGTGTTGCTTAGATGTGGGGGTGGGAACCACAGGTCAGAGCCTCACGCAGTCCGCTGTGTCCTTCCTCCATGACAGCCCTGGCCACCAGTGCCGGCGGGAGATGTGTTGAATCTTTGTGTCAATAAACAGCTGGAGACTACAGCAAGACCAGCTGTGTGGTGCTAACCCTCCTGTGTGCCCCCAGCACTGTGAGAGTGAGTTTGCCAGACAGGAGCCAAGTCCTGTCAGGAAATGGAGGCCTTCTGTATGGCCCTGAGCCCACATGTGCAGGGCCCACCTTTGGGGCTTCTTGGCAGTCATCTTGTCAGTCCCCTCTGCAAGCCTGGGTGGCCTCTGGTGCCCATGGGAGGAGGTGGCCTGGGGTATGGGCAGCATTGCAGCCCCCAGCTCCTCTGTACACCCCATACCTCGTCCCTGGGAGGGCCCCGCTGCTGCTGGGTGACCTTAAAGTTGCCCAGGTGGACAGCGTCAAGACCAGTATCTGGTGGGTGTCCCCATGGTCCTCTGCCCCTAGGGACTCTAAGTGCCCTGACCCCACCCCGTGGAAGACCTAGGAGGGCCAACATGGCAGCTGTTGGAGGAGCTCCCAGGGCATATGCTACGCATGGGCTGCTTATGTGGGAACTGGCAGGTCACTGGTCTGCCCAGCAGACATTCCACATGGCATTTCTGTCACAGCACTGGACTGCTGAGTCTCAGGCAGGGTAAAACCCAAGAGGAACTCCAGACATAGCTGCTGGGGGTGCAGGAGCCCAGCACAGCCCTCTAGGGTCACCTATACTGGCTAGGCCCCCAGAGCAGCCATGGTGACTGCTGCATTTTCACACACGCGCCCCTCCCCAGGGTCCAGGAAGCTGGTAGCCCATCTCTTCCTGGGGGACCAGATGGGTGCAGGTGAACTGCTCCCTCTTGGGGAGGCCCAGAAGAATGAGCAGCCTTGGGGACTCAGGAGCCCTGTGGGGACCAGTGGGTGACCAGGGGCTCACTGTCGGGAATTATGTTCAGCTGCTACAAGCAGGAAAGAGCATACCCTCCCTGCCTGGGAAAGAAACTGCCAGGTTCTGACCAAGTGCCAGATCCTGGGTCACCCCAGCCCCCAAGGGTGCTCCGAGAGACTGACCCTGATGAGTCATGAGCCACTGTCACAGGCTCTCCAAGCCCCCTCCATCCCAGTGGGAAAGGGGAGCCACAGAGCTGCTGGGCAGACACAAGGCAGCCTGGCACTTCCCTGGAGTACTTTGGGGCCATCCTGACAGCCCAGCGTGGTGTCTGCAGTACGCGTGCGCAGATACATGGGTTGTCCATGTGCCCACATGCACACTAGCTCATGCACACGTACAAGGTACGACAGAGAAAACACAATGTTTAAGTGATTTAAAAAGTAAAACACACTAATCTTTAGGGAAGCACAAGTGGATCCGTAGCAGAGCCGTGCCTCACACCTGCTGGACACTAGGGACAGTGAGGGGACCTCATACCCTGTTGGTGGGAATGAAGACCCTCTGCTACAGAAAAACAGCGGGCAGCTTCCTCAAAACTGAAAAGTAGCACCACTTGGGGGCGCAGGGCCCCTGCTGGGTGCACAGCGGGGACGTCCCGTTGTAGCCCTAAGCAGGTGTCAGCCCCTGCTTCACACTAGCTGCAGAGCGCTTGCCCACAGCCAGGTGTGGATCCACCTGAGGGTCAGAGAATGTGCTGGTCTATCAGACGCAAAGCCCACAGAAAAGGGAGTCCTGCCATCCCCAGCACAGGGGAACTGGAGGGCGCTACGCTAAGGGAACTCGGCCCGGGAGGTGGCGGAGGTGGCGGAGGTGGCGGTGGTCCTGACCAGACTGACCCAGGACACGCATGCGCAGATGCAGGTGGGCGGGAATACAGTCCCAAAGACATTCCGAATGCTTGTCCTCAAGCAGAGGTGAGGTGATTTTCAGAATTACTCCTGCCTTCGTGATCTTTTTCAACAGTAAGCATTTATTCCACACGTGATCAGAAAAAAAAAAAAAAAAAAAAAAGCAATTTTCATTTGGGAGAAATGATACCGCAGAACCCATGCCCTGGAGGACATGCACCGCCTCACATGGACGCGCAGCGGGAGTCACGCATCCATCTCCCTCCCTGCGTCCCCAGAAGCCGCTAGAGCTGGGGGCAGGATCGGAAGGACATGCAAGGCCGGCGACGTCACTCAGGTGGAGACGGTAACTGGGATCTGTGTCTGCTTGCTTTCCTTACGTATACTCCCTCACTTTATCAAGGACTAAACGTGCCTACCAAGAACCCCTGGAGAAGTCCCGCCCACCTCAGCCGTGCGTGGAGGCAGTGGCAGCTCTGGCAGCTGCCTCCACACTGGTCCTCTCGAGAAGGCAGGTCTCCCACAGGGGCCACAGTCACGTGGGGCTCGGGAGGCAGGCTCCCAGCTCTGCCAGGGCCCCCATTCAAGGATAGACCCACCCAGCCGCGAGCAGCACCCCCTCCTGAAGGCACCTGACTCTCCCACATCTGGGGCCCTGCCCAGGGCACCCCACAGCCCCACTGCCTAGAAAGTCACTGTGACAAGAGGCAAGGGTGGGGCCGGGGAGATGGCTCAGTAGAATAAACGCTTGCCTGGCAAGTGCAAGGGTCTGAGTTCAATCCCCGGTTCCGCAAAAAAAAAAAAAAAAAAAAAAAGGAACAAAAAAAGAGGCAAGGGAATCAGATCAAAATATCAAAGCAGCCTGGGGAATTGAGGGCCACACCTGCCTGGCCCCAACTCCGCTCCACTTCCCTGCCCCTCCACCAGGCCTGCCAGCTTCTCTGTTCCTGGCAGGGAGCCAGCTCTACTTGTCCTGGACACCCACCATCCTCTCAGGCATGCCACCCCCAACACAGCCCTCGGTGTGGGGTCCTGCTCGCCCCCTGCTGCCCCGTTCTACCTTCTCTCCAGAAAAGAGGCCTGACCATCTGCACTGCATGTCCCATCGGGCTGCACTCTCAAGGCCAGCAGCCTGTGCACTTGATGCCCCCAGAACACACACAGACCCCGGGAAAATGGACTTGCTGGACCCCACAAGGTGCCAGTAGCCCAAGAAGCACAGAGACAGCAAGGAATGGGCTGGCTGCATGGCTCTGGGACCCCCTCCCAGTGGTCACCACACCTGTGCACACAGAGCCCTGGTCCTTCACCTGCCTTGACCTGCAGGATGGTGCATAGCCAGGCCAGGCTGTGGGAAGCTAGCAAGGCAGATGGTGCCGGGTCTCACCTCGGAGGGACAGAGCAGGTCACAGACCTTCAGGCAACTCCATGGCCACTTTATTGCATGGTAGACAGGAGGTGCTGCCACACACAGCCAGAGAATACAGAGGTTTTCTGCCTAAGCCCCCACAGAGCCACGGGTGACCGGTGGGCACAGCCCCAGATCCTCCCTGGGTCTGGCCTCCTTCACTGAGGGTCTTCTGCCCTCCAGTTGGTGTTTACAGAGCTGGGCACTGGACGAGAGAGGCACAGTGAGGGGGGTCAGACCTTGTTCTCTGCACCCCCAAGCCCCTTCATCCATGACAAGAGCCCCATGGCCCGGCTAAGCTGTGAATCTACAGCAGCCCCACCCTGGAGCCCCAGAAAAGCAGCCATGCCCAGGTCCCCAGTGCATGGTGCCTGTGTTAAGATGTTCCCCTCTCCAGAGGACAAGCCAAGGGGCACCGCCGGCATGCACAGGCCAGGCTGAGGCCAGAGGTGGCTCCGTGCATCCACCCACAGAAGGCTGTGAGGAAGCCCCTGCCTGCCTTCGCCCAGCCTCAGGTCGAGCCCACTGCCCAGGAGGAGGGCAGGAGAGTAGTGTTCTATACAGAGCCCAACCCACACCATGCCATGGGCCAAGAGCCCTGTAGCCCAGGAACAGCAGAGCCTGCAGGCAGCCCAGCTGGACAGCCCGGGTCTGGAGCCTGCATGGGTGAGGGGCAATCCCGCTCTGCCCCAGTACCCCTCCTGGCCCCGTGGGCCTGCACCTGTCTTCTGACGGCCTGGCATGCCCATCACCTCACTGCAGTCCTTCTTGTGGAACTCGACCCAGGCCTTGGACTTACAGAACTTGCTGCAGGTCAGGATCCCATAGCAGCGGGCGCAGGGCGTGAGGCGGACACCGATGGAGCGGCCACACTGGTAGCAAAACTTGAAGAAAGGCATGCTGGGACAGAGGGAAGTCCTGTGGGGCCACATCCTGCCCAGCCCTGAGCTCCACCAGTCCCTGCCACCCCCAAGTTGGGCAGCACCCAGGTGAACAGTGGATACAAGGAGCAGTCAGAGGGAGGTCAAGGGGGCCCTCTGAGCCACGGAATAGCAGGCAGGGCTGGGCCTGGGCCCACCCTCCAGTCCCTTGGAACATCACAGGGCAGAGGCTTCCCAAGCACAGGGAACAGTGTGGGTCTGGGGGATGGGTGCCTGTGACTGGAAGCCCTAGTCTCTGCCCACCTGGCCCAGTCACCATCCCTGTCCTGTCACCAGATGCCTTGGAAAAAAGAGGTAAGGACGTCCCTAAGAGGAAGGTGTCTCCCATACCACCCACGTGGAGGCTGCCCCCAGGAGAGTCCAACAGACATCTGGGCTCAGACCCTGCTCCACTCTTGCTGGGGTGGCCACCCATACACAGGCATGGAGCCCGCCTATGCGCCATGTGCAGGGCTGCCTGGACAAGGCCACATCACTCGGAGACAAGGGAGCAGGAATGTCACTGAAAGGGATGACAAGGCCCAAGCCCCAAACCGTGGCCACCAGCCCAGCATACCCCCAGGACCCTGCCACACACTCACAGCTCCTGGCCCTCCGTGTCCGGGGCCTTGGCCAGGCCTGAGCTTCTCTTCTTCATCCTCTGGCTAGGGCACAGCTCCACTACGTCAGAGAGGCCAACATCAGTGCTGGGCAGATGGGGCAGCCACAGTTGGGCCACCTACCAGGGTTGAACACTTGCAGCACTCTGAAAGGCCACTGCATGGCACCAGGTTCTCTTGGACCCAGCCCAGCTACCACCCCTAGTGCAGCCACTTCTCCCCGAGGGCCAGCTCCCTGTCCCTCGTCCATGCCCTCCACTGGGGCTGCTTGTGCAGTGCACAACTCCTGAGCTAACGGACATCTAACAAGGACCGTGGTGGCCCACAGCTGCTGGCAGGGGGTGGCAGTGGTTTAGACAAGGCTCTCGTCAGCCTGTTGACCTTACCCTCCTGTGGCCTGTGGCTGCCTACATTTAGCTGTGGAATCTGTTGTCCCCTGGATTCTGACCGCTTCGCATGTGGGACCTGAGGCAGGAGCTCTTGCTGCCTGCCCACTGCCCCTTGGGGCCCAGCCACACCCACGCTGACAGCTGCGTCATACACGCTTTAGGGCTGGGCGCAGCTCCTCTGTGTCCCTCGGACGCTGGGAACCACGCAACTATTTCCCCGCCAGGTCTCTTGACGCCTGCTTCCTGCACAGCCAGGCCCTCCCACAAATGGCTTTCTTCCGGGACTGCAATGAGTTTGCAAACCAGAATTTCACTTGGTTCTGTTCTGCTAAGTTCTCTTTCCTCGTGGCTGTCCTCTACCTGACAAGACCTTGCCCTCCTGTCTCCCTTTCCTTCTTTCAACATATTTGTGACAGCTCCTCTAAAGCCTCTTCCTCTTAAATCTGGACCCTGGTGTCACCTCTGCAGACTGGCCTGCCCCTCACCCACCACCCACGCTTGGGTCATGCCTCTCTAGGGTGCCTGGCAGTGACTCTGGAGAAAGTCTGCTGCAGTGCACAGGGTCCTGTCTCCTCAGCCAGCTGCCCCAGGCCCTGGCAGGGTGCTGTCTACACCTGCCCACCCCAGCCCAGGCTCCACAGGCTTGCAGCCCGTGCAGCATGGAGGACAGTGCCTGAGATCACTCGGTCTCTGTGTATGGCCACACCCAGATATTAGCTTTGCTGACCATGGGCAGACCATGCCATGGCTTTATAAAATGTCTTGGGATGTGCGCTGCTCCTCAGAATGGAGCAGACCACAGATATTCAAGGGCAAAGTCTGGCCAGTCACAGTTGCAATTTGTTCCAACCTTGGCACTGCCCCTCCTCACACTGTCTCCCTAGTTCTCTCTGGCCATGTCTCTGACGGATCTACCATCTCTTCCCAAGTGCTTGTACCAGTGGCATGCACCGCTCTGCTCTGGAAGAAACAACGTGCATTTCTGTCAAAGCTCAAGATTCCACTGGGTGGCTCCAGAGCCAGGCTATGGAAGGCAGATGGGGACACAGTGGCATCTCTGTGGAGGCAGCAAGAAGGAGGCAGTCGACTCATGTCCTCCAGGACCTGCTCTCCAGCCTGGACCTGCTGCCTATGTGCTGCTGCATGGGGGGCAAGAACCTGGTGTCCTGGGGGACACCACACTCAAGCCCAGACCCCACAGGAGGGACCTGTGGGCAACAGAGGCTTTTAGGACTCAGATTAGCAACATCCCTGCCTTGGCCTCATTCACCACTGAGACAGACTGACACCCAAAGCTCCAAGGGGAGAGGTTGACTTTGGCTCATGGTTACATCTGCAGGTGGCTGGCTCCAAGCCAGAGCAGCAAGGCAGAGAGGTCCAGCAGACAAGAGCAGCTCAGGGCATGGCGCATGGGAAGCGGGGAGTGAGGAGGGACCCAGGGAGGGAGGACCCTGGCCAGGCCCCATGCCCAGTGACCACCTCCCCAGCCAGACCCCACCCAACAGCAAATCAGCTCTGAGCCACCCGAGATTCACAGACCTCCGAGCTCATGAGGCTTTGCAGGGACACAGACAAGGCCTAACAGGCCCCAACAGCTCATGTGCCGACGGATGGGCCCCAGGGTTCACAGTGGGGATTTTGGAAGGCCACTGGGTCAGGAGGGCTGACCTGAAAATGGACTGAGCCATCTACAGGCCCACAGTGTGGGGGCTTGGGGCAGTGTATTAGGATCCCCTCCCCCGCCCGCCTCTCCACTCCCCTCTCCCCCACCCCTAATCTTCTCTCCCTCTCCTTCCCAGGCATGAGGTAAGCAGCTCAGCCTCACCAGTTGCTCCCCTCCCAACACTTTGCCTCACCACAACAGAGCCAAGTGACAGGGATGGAAGACTATGCAACCATGGAAACCTGTCCTCCTCAGGTTGGTTTTTCAGGGACAGGAAGTCAGCACAGAAGCCCCACCCTTTAGCCAGGACTGTGGATGAGGATGCAGCCCTGTAGCAGCGGATGCTGGGTGTGCGTGTGTGGAGGGGAGGAGGGTGTCCACAGGGAGGGGCACAGGTGTGCATGGCCTGTGTGAGCATGGTGGGCACACAGAGGCTCTGTGCCAGCTGTGAGTGTGCAGGGACAGTATTCACACCTTTCTGTGGGTGTGCTAGGGTTCATGAAGGCTGCACACAATGAGAGGGCAAGCTGATGTCACATGGGTGGCTACCCATGCAGGTGTGAGGGAGAGGGCCCTGCAGGCAATGCCAGGTAGATCCTGTGAGCAGGGAGGCAGGAGGGTGCAGAGAGATAGAAGGCAGAGCTGGGGGGCAGGGAACACTGCCCGTGGCCCGCACACACACCCACCTTTCCTGCTGTGGGCCAGCGCCTTCCTGTCCCACTCCTGCTCCTTAGCCAGCACGGCATGCCGCAGCTGCAAACCCATGTGCTCCAGGAGCCTCTTCCGGGCCAGGAAGGTCTCCCGCTCCGCCGGCAACAGTGAGTGGAAGGGGCAGTGGGCGATCTTCCGGTCCTATGGTGTACCACAGGGTCACTGCAGGGCCACCATGGGCCTCAGGGCTGCCTCCACTCCTACCAGGAGCACGACAGGGTCACCCTAGCCTGCACTATGCTGTCTCTGTCCTCAGTGACTACGAGGGACACCCCAAGACCTACATGTTCCTATAGGACGTGCTTACCATGGTGGGGCTCCTGGTGCCCAGGATAGCTGCAGGGCCCCCAGCTCTGCCCAAGAGAAGCCCAGGCCCCCGCAGGCACTGCTCAGAACCAGGCCATACCTGGAAGAACTGAAAGTAGCCGTAGTCCACTGCAGTGCCCACTGCCATCCTGTCACCCTGCATGAGTGTCACTGGCTTCAGGATGTCGGCCCCGTGTTGCAGGAGCCGGTCAATCTGAAGGGACAGAGCCTGTCAAACAAATGGCCACCCAGGAAGCCAAGGGGTCACCCCAATCACAGGGCTGACTGCACGGATCACAAGGCCCACGGCTTCCGAACCCTGCAGACACAAGCACCAGGGGAAACCCAGGGGCCCTGTCCCCCTGGAGCAGGGTACCTGGAAGGGGTCTGCAGGGGGCCACCTCCAGGTGTGCAGGACAGTCAGAGACAACCCAGAGGAAAAGTGAGAGCCTGCTTCACCCAAATGACCCACACCCCAGAGAGCCCTCCTAGCCACCCCTTCCCAGGTATGGGGTCCAGCTCCCTTCCAGCCCCTCTGGCTGCCAGCCATGTGAAGTAAAGATCAGGTGGGTCTGGGGCCTCATGCCGCCTCACAGGTGCTTCAAGAGCCTGTGCATGTGTGCACATGTGGGTCCAGGCATGTACATGCACCTGCGTGTGTGCATGTGTGTGTGCCTTCTTGTAAGCCCTCCCTGGCAGTGGCTGGCCCCAACTGCTTCAGAGCACCTTGCAGCACAGACGCCCCTGCCAACACCTGGCAAGGCAGGAAGCAGCTTCCCCAGCCCAGGCACAGGCAAGGCCTACTGGAGGATCCCATGAGGAGGGCACCTCCCCCTCCAGAGTCATGACCCCGAGGGAGCCAGGCAGCCCCTTTCTCCCGAGGCACCAAGTTGCCACAAGGCAAGAAGGAGCCTGCAGAGCTACAGAAACAGAACTGGAGTACAGTCGCCTGGCGCCAGCCCATGCTGCTCCCCCAGAGAGACAGCCTTGTGCTCCCGTGGGTGCCCTGACAGAACTCCTATGCCACAGTGAGCCCCAGGTACTCCAGGGGCTTGGCCCCCTCTCCCTCTCTTCTAATAGGGGCTCTTCTGGTGCCTCACTCTGACATGTCCCGAAATTCTTTTTCCATGATGCAGTGAAGAATTTACCTGGAGGGCTGAGTTGAGGTCCCTGTCTCCTCTTTGGGGCCCCCTCAGGCCCCAACTGGTGACACTATCATTATTTGGTGTCCCTTAGCTCGGACAGGGTCTCGGGTAGCCCAGCTGCTGCGCTCTGCCCCATAGCCCAGCAGTTCCTCACCAGGGTGATCTTGTTGTCCGTGCTCCTCCGCTGCTCATAGGCCAGGTCGCAGACCACGCATAGGGCGCTGCCCAGGCCTCGGGTCAGGGGCAGGTTGGGGTCAGCTCCGCAGGACAAGAGCTCCTTCACGATCTGTATAGGCAGGCCCCTCAACAGCTGGCCTGTCACCTCCCTCACAGGTCTCCCCAAGGCCACCCTCAGGCCTTGGCTGCCAGTGCCCTTGGGCTGTGCTGGGTGGGGGACCACAGGGCCAGCCCCTAGGGAGGCCTGGCTCCCACTTCCTCTGGGCACTGCCAGGGTGCAGTGCTCTGAGGACCTGGGTCCCCTCCAGCTCTTCAGCATGGGGCAGAGTCAGGCCCTGGGGCAGCTCCTCCCTGCGTGGGTCAGGGCACCCTCTCTGGCCCCTTCGATCAACCTTCTTTCATCAACTCCTCTCTTCCTACCGCCTGTTACACCTGAGATGGTCTTACACACAGTGCATTGTCTGGCTCCCCCAGCTGGGACATGGGGTCTTTAGGAGTAGGGCTTGTTCTATTCACAACTTACTGCCCACAACGGTGCCTGCCTGCACATGGGCACTCTGCAAGTGACATTTACATCAAAGGAGGGGTGAGCAAGTAGAACGCGGCTGGGTGGGATGGGTGGGCGGTGGCTGAGAAGACCTAGTGCCTGGAAAGATGCCTGCTTGCCCATAGGAGCTGCTTGACAAATAAATTAAGCGAAAGGGTGGCTGGGTGGGTGGGTGGCTCACCAGTGGGTGGGGGAGGGCTGTGGAAGGGGTGAGTGAAAAGGACAGTGATGCATGTGTGGGTGATCGGGTGGATGAGTGAACAGAGGAGGGTGGGAAGGAGGGTGGCTACGTGGCCGAATGGGTAGGTGGGCGAGTGGACAGACAGATGGATGCCCAGAGGGGGAGATGGGTGGGTAGGAGGTGACAGAAGGTGCTGGAAGGGTGAGTGGGCAGATGAAGAATGGAGGCAGCAACCATACAGGCCCAGGCCCAGGCCCCAGCAGAACCTGCTCACCAGGTCATTCCCACTGGCAATGGACAGGGAGAGCGGGGAATGACCGCTCCACAGCAGGTTGGGGTCCGCCCCATGGGACAGAAGGAGCTGCACGACATCCCTGGCACACTGGGGAGGGGACAAAGGCAGAAATATCAGATGAGCAGCCCCACACTCTGGAGGAACACTAGATGGGTTCCTCAATGTAAATGTCACGCAGCCAGCAGAGCCACAGCAACACCTGCCAGCACAGGGAACCGTCCAGAAGTGGGACAGGGGGACATGGATGGAGAAAGATGTCATAAGAACATCCTCATTCCCAGGCAGATGGCAGGAAGGTGCCATCGTGTATAGAGACTGGAAGCTTGTCCTCTAAGGGCCGAGCCAGGCAGGGCCCGTCAGAAGGGCTGACCCTGACGGGTGGCGGAGGACTGACCCTCACCAGGCCCAGGGTCCTGAGCAGTGACCCAGCACAGGAACAGGAGCTGCACCAGGGATACCAGGCACTGTCCACGGAGGCAGGGGGACACACCTTGGCCCTGGCCTGGCCCCGAAGCCTCTGCTTTCTCCCAGCCCCTTCAGGACCTCCCATCTGCAGCCCTCAGTTTCCCCTTACTGTTCACTCCAGGAGTGCTCATGGCGAGTGGTCCTCCCCCACAGCAGGGACTGTCCTCTAGGTGCCACATGAGCTCCCACTGAGCCACCCCCTCTGGGACCAAGAGCCCAGCCCGCAGGCCCACTCCCACCCCACAGCCTCTCAAGAGGAGAGCCGTCCTCCTCTCCTTGCTCAGATGCAGATGTGATGGTGGGACAACTGCAGCCCACCTGCCTTCACAGCTGGTAGCTGCACACACATGCACACACGCATGTGCACACGTTTCATCCAGGAAGGCACACACCTCCACACCCATGCTCCTGTACATACCACAGCTCATGCACACGTACTCACATGTGCACACATATCACACCAGGCACCAGCTGCTGCCTGGCTGAGGTCCCCCTGACCCAGGAACCCCTGCAGCTCAGCAGTGGCCCCCCTGCCCTGGGCTCCTCCACCCCCTTCACCCCCACGTGGCTCAGCACTAACAGGCGAGCACCCTCCCTCCGACAGGCAGCCCGACCACTCACCTTATTGCTATCCTCCCGCTCACAGGCCACATGTAGAGCCGTCCTGCCGCCCTCCTCAGCGACACGCATGCTCGTGGTGTAGTAGCTGCTGGGTGGGCCCGGCTCATTGCTGAGCTTCAGGCTTGAGGGCAGCAGCTCCAGCTGTAGGCAGCACAGAGCTCACTGCAGCCTCGCATCAGCTATGGCCTGAGCGAGCCCTGACCATACGCTTCTTCCTCATGCTGCAGGAGCATGCCAAAGTCTGTCCTTTCTGTGCCTGCTCCGAGTCATCCTGATGCCACCCCGTGGCCTCCTCCCAAGCCTCCCTCATGCAGACCCACACATGCAGGTGTCCCCAACACTCTGGAGTGCCCAGGGGGCTCCACAAGGCTCTGGCTGAAGGCGGAGTAAGGCATGGCTTGAACAACGGTGCCAGCTGGAGTCACAGGTGATGTAGGAATGCGCAGGGGAAGGACAAGGACAGAGCGGTGGCAGGACGTCAGCCCTACTGCAAGGGAGTCGGGAGGCTGGCGGGGCAACACAGGGCTGCTCAGGGCCATCCCACCCAGTGGGCAGCAGGGCTTCTGCACAAGGCCAGCCCTGGGCACACTCTGGAAATGATGCAGCCACAACAATGGGCCTAAAGTGGTGAGAGCAGGTCACCTGCAAGATGTCCCACGGGGCTCCCTGTTTCAGTCAGCCCTCAGCTGCTGGCTCTGTTGAGGTATCTTTGCCTGAGACTTCCCCATGAGCGTGTGGCCAAACTCTCCCCAGCAGCCAAGGCTTCAGGTCCCTGATCCACTGTCTCCACACTGGGCTGAAGCTCATCCCAGAACAGGCATCACAGGTCCAGAGAGCTCAGCCCAGCCCCACTGCTCCCTGCCCTCAGCAGCACACCTTGTCTGGTTTGTATGCCTCATCCTGGTCAGCTGCCTGAGCGTCCACATCAGTGATGGCGTGGAGCAGCAGCTCTGTGATCCTGACGCCCTCTTCCCCTGGGAGGGCAGCAGCGATATGGAGTGGAGTCAGGGCCCCCAGCTGCAGAAGAAGCACAGGTGGGTAAGGTAGGTGACCCTGGAGCCAGCTGGGTGAAGGCTCAGAACTCCAGGTAGGAGCGGATGCCAGGAGCACGGTGGCTGGCTTGAGGGAGAGGATGCGCTTCTCCCAGCACCTGTCTGAGGGTCCCGTAGCACAGCCTGTGAGATGCAGGATGGAAGGCCTGCAGGGCACAGGCAGGAGAACACGCCCCTTAGAGCGATGGACTGAAGGTGCTCACCACATTACACGCAAGCCAGGGCTGCACAGCCAAACACTAGACCTCAATCAGAATGATTTGCACCTTCCACTAAGAAACGCTCCTTCGAGGCCTGTCAGAGCCTGGCTCAGATGCCACTATACTGCCAGTCATGCAGCTCCTGACTGTCACCCACAGCATCCCTCTGGCCATCGGCTGGGCCCTGGAGGAACATCCCTATGCCCATATCCATGTAACACCAGCTATGGAAATATGAGGAACTGCAAGCTTCCACACAAGCCAACGTGCAGCAGAGGGCAGAGAGGGGCTGGGCTTCTGGTCTTGCTTCAGGAGTCTCTTCTTGCTGCCTGAGTAAGTGCACAGCCAGCCTAAGAAACAGCGCGGTCTCCATCTCTGCCAGCCAGAGCGCTGACACATGGGGCATGGTCAGACAGACACACCATGCTCACGTGGCCAGTTCAGGGGCCCAAGTGGAGGGCTGCATCCCGGTGACTCTGGAATTCCAGGCTGCTCCACATAAATGGGAAGGCGTTCCCACCCCGCCTGCCACCAAGGTCACCGCCCTGCTGTCGAAGAGCCTTGGCCAGGCACTGCAGGAAGAGCTGCCCACGCCACACCTGAGAGCACAACAGGTAGTGTTTGGGCTTTGCATGAAAGGGGACACCAGGATGACATCAAATGCTACCGTGTGGAGATGAGGGTCCCCTAAAGGCCCATGTGGTAAGGGCTGGTCCTAAGGGTACTGTAACCAGGCACGGGGCAGCCTCTGAGAAGTGAGTTGGGAGGGGTCCTTGGGTCACTGGGGGTGTGCCCTGGAAGGGACTGTGGATCCCAGCCTGCCCTTGCTCCACCTTGTGCCCCTACCATGACAAGTGGCCCTGGCCAGCTTAAAGTAGGGCCAGGACCTGAGCTTGGACTGAAACTCCCCCAGAGTGACCAGTGTGGCTACCACAGCTTGTATCTAGATGTCTCCCAAAGCCTCATACACTCATAGGTGGGGCTTTTCCGAGGTAGCTGGGTCTAAGATGTGTGATACTTGGGTGGAGGATATGGATGACTAAATAGGGTCAGCATATTCTGGGTGTGGGTAGGCACCCATTGTGGGTGTGGGTGGCACTAGCAACAGGCTTATGGCCTGGATGGGCACAGGAGGAGAGAGGGAAAGCAGCTCGCTTCTGCTCACTTCCTGCCACACATGGATTGCTTCTCCTCTCCCATGCCACACTGCCTTGGGGCCAGCCAGCCATGGAATGAACCCCTACAAACTGAGAGCCATATAAGCCTCTCCGCCTTTTCCTTGGGGGTCAGCGATTCGGTCTCAGCAACAAGAGAGGTAACTACAACAGTAAAACCTTTTCCCTTTAGTTATATTTACTCACACGAAGGTCAGACAATGAGCTCAACTTACCACCAACAGAAAAAAATGCAAAATTGAGCCACACTGAGGTGCCAATTCTGCCCACTGTGGGGAGCAGGAGACTCCCACCTTGCTGGGGGATGGGTGGTGGGCACAAGTCCTGGCGGGGCCTAACGCAGACACGCTCAGCCAGCAGGACCCCCAGCGCCAACCGCCACGCACCATGGAGTGCTCAGTTGGTTTATTCATGGCAATTTTATTTCAGCAAAGATGCACACCAGGTCGGATACCACCCAGCAGCCCTTGGTGACAGAACTGCTACGCAGTCCAAAAATATGAGGAGACTTTCTATACAGTGTCATGAAAAGTTGTCCTACACATGTGGTTATGTTAAAAAAGAAAATAACACAGGTGCAGCCTGCCAGCAGCGTGCCCAGGGAGACAGGGCTGGAGCAGCCTGTGTGAGCACCGCGCCTGCTCCGGGGCAAGTCTGCAGCTGCACACAACTCCACTCCAGGGCACTCACACCCAAGAGGCCCTGCATCCCAGGGCAGGTGCTTCCACAAGCCTTGTCCAGGGAGACAGACAGGACCTGGGCCAGACAGGAGGCACTGCTGCCCCAGGGGCGGAGCAAGCGAGAGGTTTGAACAAGCAAAGGTCAGGAGCCAGGAGTCTGCAACGAAAACCCAAGAAAACACAGAACCGCATCCTCTCTGGGGTGTACTCTCTGTTCATAGGCCTCTCTGCTCAGCAGCACAGTGCTCTTTGGACCATGTCCACTAGAAGGTGGACTCCAGCTCAGAACACAGAGATGCCCCTGGGGGGGCCACGGTCCCCCCAGCTGGGCAGAAGCAACAGAAGACAGCATGGAGGAACGACAGTGGTGTGCCAAGAAAGGAAGTGTAAGTCAGATATACAGGATCCCTTTAAGATGGGAAAACTGGGTTTTCTCAGCTAAGGGTGTTACTGGCTGTATCTGTCTCTCTGTCTGCAAGGGTGATGCCTTTGCTCCTTGTGTGAGGTCCTTTGGAAGCTCCTCCCTGGGCCTGCTTTGAGTCCCCAAAGGTCACCAACACCTTCCCACCAAGCAGTCCCTGTGCGGGGGGGGGGGGGG